AAACCAATCTCAGCATTGATTCTTGCATTTGCAATGTACATTCCAGTAAACTGTCAGTTCCAGGACCAATCTTGTTTGTTCTCCGAGCATGGTATGGTTTTGGGTCTGGGGATCTAGGGATCAATTGCGTGACTTCGGAAAGCTGCGACCCCAAACCGGCCCAGAGTTTGACACGAGATGTTTTGTTACATGTATCTTCCAAATCCATTTTTTTGCTCACACATGAGTTTTCAACCACATATGTACGTATATATGTATATATATATATGGTACCCCCCCTGAAACCTACCTTTTTGGAATATTCATCAGATGGTTGGGTCAAAAGGGGGTTACCTTACATACACGCTAAGGGCATTATATATATATATATATATTCTAATAGTGTAATAAGTATGCTATTGAGACTGATTGAACTTAACTTCAATGTTAGCATTCTGGGAAGAATGCGTTCAGAATGCATTCTCTGCATTCTGGGAAGAATGCATTCAGAATGCATTCTCTGCTAAAACCAAGAACCAAGAACCAAGATGCCCCCAAGACTCCTGAGCAAATCTAGGTTCGAACCAAAACCAAGAACCAAGAACCAAGATTCCCTCAGGACTCCTAAGCAAATCTTGGTTCGAACCAAAACCAAGAACCAAGATTCCCCCAAGACTTCTGAGCAAATCTTGGTTCGAACTAAAACCAAGAACCAAGATTCCCCCAGGACTCCTGAGCAAATCTTGGTTCGAACCAAAAGCAAGAACCAAGAACCAAGATTCCCCCAGGACTCCTGAGCAAATCTTGGTTTTTGGTTCTTGGTTTAAAATCTAAGATTCCCAAAAGACTAGATAAAGAATGCATTCTGAACGCATTCCTGCAACCAAGAACCAAGATTCCCCAAAGACCCCTGAGCAAATCTTGGTTCTTGATTCTTGGTTTTAAATCTAAGGTTCCCCAAAGACTGCTGAGCAAATCTTAGTTCTTGGTTCTTGGTTTTAAATCTAAGATTCCCCAAAGACTCTGGGCAAATCTTAGATCTTAGATCTTAGATTAGGGAAAGAATGCGTTCTGAATGCATTCTGAATGCATTCCTGTGGAAATGCGTCCGTCTTGGGTTTCCCTTAAGCAGATGGGATTGATTCAGCTACCATGAAAAAGTTTCAACTTTGGGTCTTTTCCCCACGCCTGAAAAATAAATGAGCACACTGTGTCAAAACAATGTTGCATTTTCTTGAAGGAATGCCCCACCATGTTTAAGGGCACTGTCAATCTCACAAACGTAGCATTTGTGATGTTTTTGTTTAAGCAAAGACGGCTCACATTTGTTCATTTCAAGTATACACAATTACTGTCAAAACATTAGGGCGTACTGACTCTAGAAAGCACAATGTAGCAGTACTTGTGCCACATGAGCAGCATGTTCTTTTAAATATCAAACTTGTTTTCCAACAAATATAGTGTCACTTAGAGAAAAACATGTATGTTCTTCAAAGTAATGGCTACATTTCTGAAGATATTCTTATTTGATTTGAAGAGATACTGCATTTGATTGGAAGATGCCTTGTATGTTGCAGGGACTGTTTGTGCAACGGAACGTGTTTCTTCCTTCCAGAAGTATTGTACTTAGTACGTTATGAAATGGGTCTGTGAATTCAGAATGCATATTTACATGTTGGGAAAAAACATTGATTGATCGAAATGAAGAGATATATTTTCAAGAGAAGTGGCTTTCTGCAAAGGAATGCTACCTATTGAAAAGGAATACTCTTTTTGCCTAAGGAATGCTACACCCTTTGAATGAAAGTGTCTGTTTGTAAAGCCTGCTCTTGTCACTTAGAATTGGTTCTTCAAGAGAAGGATGCATGCTTGATCGTCTCTTGTAGCCATTTACAGTGTTTTCACTGCCTTTTTCAGGTTCGGGGATAAGACCCAAAGTTGAATGATCTTTTTCATGTGGGTTGAATCACTACTTAAGGGAAACTTTGCAGAGAGGTTGAGGTACTTTGAGGTACGTAAATTATACTTAAGACATAGTTTGGAAGGGGTACGAACTAAGAGGTCCTGGGACCACCTAAGACCCACACATCATCCAAAGCATTGAGCCACTGCAGCAGTACAACAAGAGAGAAACTACATAGTAAGGACAAACAGGCCTAAGAAATATCTACCATATTGATCATCAAAAAAATGCCTGCTAGATCTGAAAGCATACAAAATCCAAAATTTCATGTGTCACAAAAAGGAATAAAAACATTGTAAAAACCAATGTAAAGCTTGAAAAATACATTTGGCCACAGTGCCGTGCGCATTCTGTCAATGTTTGAATTGAAACCCTTTGTTGGGAACACAATACGGTAGTTGAAAATGCTGCAAATACCATCAAAATATGTCATTGTATCTACACATGAAGCATCATGACTCATCATGATCAAGCATCCAAAGTCTTCAAATGAATGAAAAAAATGCTGGCTGCTTTTGACGGCAAAAACCAACAAAAATCACTGTAAAACACAATAGAAAATTGAAAACGGTAGGTTTCAGGGGGGGGGGTTAGCATATATATATATACACACCCATACATGCATACACACATCCTTTCTGCACCCTACAGCACCTCTGATGTCACACGACATGAGGAAAGCCCCGAGTGTTCTGTTTGCCTCGATGACCTTCAAATCGGTGCCACGGTGCCTTGGCAACCAGGTGGTGAGAGCGGTGACTCAGCAATACATTAGTTATACACACAGATGTATATATCTAAATATCTATATATGTATATGTATGTATATATGTATATGTATGTATATATGTATATGTATGTATTTATGTATATGTATGTATATATGTATATGTATGTATATATGTAAATGTATGTATATATATGTAAATGTATGTATATATGTATATGTATGTATATATGTATATGCATGTATATATGTAAAAATATGTACATATGTATATGTATGTATATATGTATAAATGTATACATGTATATATGTATATATGTATGTATATATGTATATGTATGTATATGTATGTATTTGTATGCATATATGTACATATATGTATATATGTATGTATATATGTATATATGTATATATGTATATATGTATATCTGTATATCTGTATATCTGTATATGTATGTATATATGTATATGTATGTATATATGTATATGTATGTGTATATGTATGTATTATGTATATGTATGTATATATGTATATGTATGTATATATGTGTATATATGTATAAATGTATATATGTATATATGTATGTATATATGTATATGTATGTATTTGTATGTATTTGTATGTATTTGTATGTATATATGTATATATGTATATCGGTATATCTGTATATCTGTATATGTATGTATATGTGTATATGTATGTATATATGTATATATGTACATATGTATCCATTCACATACACTTTTGTTTTTATGTATGTATGTATGTATGTAATGTAATGTAATGTAATGTAATGTAATGTAATGTAATGTATGTATGTATGTATGTACGTATGTACGTATGTACGTATGTACGTATGTACGTATGTACGTATGTACGTATGTACGTATGTACGTATGTACGTATGTACGTATGTAATGTATGTACGTATGTACGTATGTACGTATGTATGTATGTACGTATGTACGTATGTACGTATGTACGTATGTACGTATGTACGTATGTACGTATGTACGTATGTACGTATGTACGTATGTATGTATGTATGTATGTAATGTATGTAATGTATGTATGTATGTATGTATGTAATGTATGTATGTAATGTATGTATGTAATGTATGTATGTATGTATGTAATGTATGTATGTATGTATGTATGTATGTAATGTATTAATGTAATGTAATGCAATGTAATGTAATGTAATGTAATGTATGTATGTATGTATACATCTGTATTGATCAACTATCATCCTGGAGGGAAGATAGAATATTGTAAAGAACAGGTCTCAGTTTCAGATTTTTTCAGGGCGTGGGAATGACTCAAATTCAGATTCTCTCTCATGGATGCAGGATGGGTATGTTCGGTATCCAAAGCTCAGAAAAGGTGATGAATTGTACGGTAACGACATTTAAATATGTGGAGAGCGGGCCAGACCGCCAGGCCCCGGAGGTAGTATGAAATACCAGTTCGTATATTTAAATGTAGTTGCAGTATGTTGAAATGAATTGGGTTCCGTATGTTTAAATGGCTAGGCGGGCCAAGGAAAACGTTCCCGAAGGTAGTCTAAAATACTTGTTCGTATATTTAAATATCCGTATATTTAAATGTAGTTACCGTAGTCCTTAGATATTGAGCGACCAAATGCTGACCCTGGATATTTATGCAAACTTTTGTGTGTATAGACGTATGTGTGTATATATATATATACACACATATACACATATATATATATATGTATCATGAGTACACGTGTACATGTACATGTACACACACACATATATATATATATACATACATAGATACATACATACATACATATGACTTTAAACGCATAATTACATGTACATATTATATAGGCAAAACAAATTCGGTGCACGTACAAAATAGGTGATCCCTGGGAATATGTTGCCTTTGCATCTTGGGAAATCGCTCTTCCCAACGTGGCAAGGCTTTACGAATCCCCTGTGGCCACTTGTTTCACGAGGATTGCGTCAAGGAGCTGCTGATGGAACTTTATTTTCTCTGTTTCAGTTTGTAGTTTCAGTACGTGTGACCATGTATCGGTTGATCCCACTTTCTCAGCAACACAAAAACTCACGCACCAATCAGAGAGGACCTAGGTGAGACGGAGCTTTGGGTCTCAAGATTTTTCAGAGCAACCCGGGCACCTGCAGGAATGGCTTAAAAAGAGTAATGAATGCCCCCTACTCAGTGATTGGGGTGCGATGTCCACGAGTGACACGAGTGTCAACCCATGCGTCAAACAGCAACAATCCCAGAGTTCCACATGAAAGAACTTGTTTGCTGGTGTTGGTGATAAGAATTCTTTCATGGATCCGCATTCCTCCTTTGAGAGTCCCTGGACTCTGGACTCTGCTGCCCCCGAGGGTGATTCTCAGTTGGTGACCACTGTTATGATCACACATCCGACAACAATAAACACAGTAGATCGAGGTAGCTAGCAGTTGACTAGGCATATAGTGATAACACGTGATAAGCCAATTCAAAAGTAGTAAGGCTCATTAATTTGCCGCTATTCTGTGACTGCAATCATTTCATTTGGATTCGTGCAGCGGTTTCAGCAAAGAAAGGTGTCTTGTCTAAATCCTTCCCAGCTGACCTTGCGTTGCTGTTGCTCGGTAAGAAGAGGTAAACTTGGGTGTTTCCCCAGATTCCTTGGACCTTCCTATAATTCACCATTGCAGCAGGTGTATCTTGAACCCTCTTGAGTACAGTACCCAACCAATGAGGCCTTCTATTCACTTTGAGACTCATTGTTCTACCCATCGTTCGCAGCCGACATTTCAAAATTACAGTCTAGACCTGTGTGCTATGTTTTTTTGGCGCACTGTCAAGAATCCCTGCTTCCATATCGCCATTTTTTGGGGAAGACTATCGTCATATGGTGTCCCAAGGGTGTCCAGTGTCCCAGGTCCAGTCTGCCGCTGGGAGCTGCCCACAGACGATCAAAACTACGAGAAAGGCCGCGCAGAGCGAATGAAAGGCGCCCTGTTGGTCTGTTTTTTTTTTTGCTTTTTTTTCGGCATGCCGTAGGTATTCACACAATGAGAAAGCGCGCATATTATATATATATATATCATTATATATCATTATATATCATTATATATCATTATATATCATTATATATCATTATGTATCATTATATATCATTATATATCATTATATATCATTATATATCATTATATATCATTATATATCATTATATATCATTATATATCACATATGTTATGTCATGTCATGTCATGTCATGTCATGTCATGTCATGTCATGTCATGTGATGTCAAGTCATGTGATGTGATGTGATGTGATGTGTGTATATATATATATACACATGAGCAGGGATCACCACACCCCCCCAGCCAAATGGTTCCCCCCTCCCCCTTGTGGCCTGGGGAGGGGGGTTCCCAACAACAACAGTCCTACATGGGCAGTGTTTGTGCAGCTGTAAGTGCTTGATGTCCAGTTTGTAGGGAGTATATGGAGAGTATTTAGGGAGTTTACAGGGAGTCTATAGGGAAATAGTATATAGTATATGGGCAAAGTACGCAATGAGTCGTATATAGGCACGCTATGAAACATGTGTAGGTAGTTTATGTAGGGTGTAAGGAGTATATAGGCAGTGATGAGGGAAGGCATATACTTACTACATATAGGTATGTAATGCTAGTTGGTGATTTTCTATGTATGTATATATATATATTTATGTATTTATGTATTTGTAGGTACAATGCATACTCACTCCAAACATATAGTATATAGGATTATATAGGTATCAATATGTCATTTAGTGTATAATCTATAGGTAGCAAATATCTAACGTGAAGGCTTACAATGAGTGGTAGACCATGTGTGAGGTATGCTATAGGCAGTACATAAGCAGGTTTTGGGTATTATGTGCTAGATTCTTCTAGATTTAGATTGATATGTTGGAAATATACAGCTAGAAAGGGTCCAGTGACGAGGTTCTGGCTCTCAAATGTTGCAAATAACGTTCACATGGGAAGTTGTGCTTTCAAACTGCTGTATATAGCGTCCTAATGGGAGGCTGTGCCTCAAAAATGCTGCAAATAATGTGCAAATAGGAGGTTTGGGGGGCAGGAGGGGGGCACCATACCATTGGGTGGTGTGTGGGTTCCTGGGCCCTGGCTCATGTGTGTATATACATATATATATATACACATATATATCTATATATATATATATTCTAGATGTGCTTCTCTGTCAATTTCGATTAGGTTCGTTGAGGTCCATCTCTCCATAACTCCCACCTGGCAGGCCGAAAGATTCGCCTGCGTCAGACGGATCTCACCGTGAAGACGGCGGCGGACAGCGCGGGGGTGGCATCCTGGTTTTCCATTGCTTGTTTGATCAGATCCCCAACATATAATGTAGTTGGAACAACCACTATATTGATGTTTGAACACCAAAGTTCTTGGAACAATTCAGTCGAACTTCAACCTGGGTCATTCTGTTTGAACATGAAATACAAGACTAGACCAAGAAATACATGGTTTTTCTTGTCCACGCTTTGCGTAGTGAGCTGAATCTCAGAGGATTGGATTCAATGATCACTACAAGTCAAAACGCTGGTTGATCGTTAAATCTTTTGTGTTTTTTTGGGTGGAGATGAGTTCAATGATTTTTCAAACTCTTGGGATGAGTGGCTCAACCACCAACCAGAACGTGAAGATCGAAAAAGAATTTTCTGATTACTGAGGTGTGTGAATAGCTGCACACACATCTTTCATCATTTTTCTAAGTCTGCTAATTGATCAATGCCCAAAACAACTGTCTCTTGACTTCCGAGCCTTATGAGATCTGATCAGATCTCAGGCCACTTTTTCACCAGTGACCATTGAAATCATTGAGCACTCGCAAGAGGTGTTTGCCTCCTGCAACACGACGGTTTCCCTAGTGTATTTCCTCCAACACCACTGGTTGAAGCGAGCAAATCTTTAAAAACCATTCCAGCTCAACCTAACCTGGCAGTGCCCTTGAACCCCATATCATCATCATGTTTTGCCAGGAGTTGCGAAGATTTGCCCACTTTCTGGGCGTGGATGTTAAAGACTGCTTAGAGAAGGCCCTTTGCTCCATGGCTCCATGCCCTGGCAGCCTGGGCTTCGGGTCTCTGCGTTTCAAGAGAAAAGCAGGATGTTGCAAGTGATGTTGCATGATATTGCAGGTATCCAAAAAATTATCTGCTATAAATTTGATAGTCATTTTGGCATGATATCTGTAGTTGGAAGTGGATTTCTCCTATCAAGCGGTTCTCATTTTCTATCTATTTGATGATATATCCTTCCACATTCAGGGCCAGATTTCTGCCGGTTGCTGCAAGCAGCTCCAACCAGACATGCGGGATGCAAAACATATGACATCATCCTTGGCCAGCCTCAACAAAGAATACCAAATCGTTGGCCAACTACCCTTTGATTTCACGTTCTTCCGAGCAAAGAGATATCTTTGTTATCATTGTTGGCCTTGGGAAGCCTTCAACCGTCTCTCTCAGTCTTATTGGATAGCACATCTTTGACCCATGCCTATGCTCACATTTCACAAGTCTTTCGGCAACCCTCCTTGTTTCTACCAGGGAGAGCTGGTCGAGAAAATTGGGCGATCGCCACAGGCCATGCACCAGGGTTGACGTTGGTGGTTAGATTTTGAGTCTGAAACTGATTTTACGGGCATTTTTTTGATATTTCGGGTTGGTTGATGTGGCTTGGTACGGTTGACCCTGGCCTTCACGCCGGCATAGATGCAAATCAACGACGTGCGCCGGATGGGAGTACCTGCTTCAAATCTCTTTCATTTGCCCGCTGAATGTTCAGCCTACCCTCTGGTGAACTAACATAGCAATGGAAAATCACCATTTTTCATGGGAAAATCCACTATAAATGGCCATTTTCCATTGCTATGTTAGTTCACCAGAGGGTAATCTCCTCGTTCAAAGGGTGTGATTGATCCTGCCACCCAACTGTTGATGTCGTGGTGCATTGGAACTTGCTGCCGCGATGTTCTCCGACAACAGCTATGCCATTGTGCAAGTGCTTAGCATATCGTAACATCCGGTGCAAGACACCATCACACATCATCATACCATCACATTATTGTAGTCAAGATATGTCAAGATAGTTGTTTAGGGATTCTACTCTCTGTTTTCCCAACCATCCAAGTAGTAATCGGATCCCAATTTGATGGCCAGCAGGTGCTGATCGTCTCTGCGGATGAGGCATGGTGCTACTGTACTGTCATCTGGCGGATCAATGGCAACAGAGGTGTTCGATTGAGAAAAGGGCTCCAAAAGAATACTGTAGCCTCCGTAGACCAACATGGCCGCGGAAACATGGGAATTTCCATGTTTGTTTTCCGTTTCCAATACCCACCAGCTGATTCTTTCCTGGCAGTCTGCTCTGGGTGTTAGGCTGAGTGCGGCTCGTCTCCATCTATGCCAAGGCAGCTGAGCACCAGGATCAAACGAGAATGGGAAGATATATAGCTTCAATATTCTCCAAACACAAGCGACCAACACATAGTTCGGAGTAACTTCATATTTCCATGGACGTAGGCTTCAATCGGTGTCAAAAGTCCTATGGCACCGTCATATGAATTGAGAGCATCTAAGAGATGTGAAAATGGGAATAAAACTCCAAATCAACTGCTGCCTTGTTCCATCCCACTGGCAAGCCACCACGCCTGCGAGCCAGGGAACCTATGTTCTCCCCGGAGGATTTGGAAAAGACGAGTATCAGCGACTTGAAGGCCTTGGAGATCGAGAAAAAAATGATCCATCATCTCCAAACTGCCACATGGCTGTGAGAAAGCCTCAATAGGAGGGACCCGAAAATGCCTCGGCAAATAATGGGCGATTCTAGTGACTTCCAGCGCGGCCCTGACACATCCACCAGTGCACCAAAAATCACACTGGGTTCGAATGGGTTTGTGTCATTTGTGGGTGTTCCAGCCTGTGATTTTAATGGGAAGATAGATCACTAAGGCACTAAGGGTTGACTGGGTTGACACAGGAAATTGTTCGCACCCGAAGGCCATCATGGAAAGATTGGCCGTGAAGGGTTCTTCTTCAAACGAGAAGGTGCGAGCGACGCATACATGCCGACTTGGTTTTCCTAGGAATGCATATTTCGATATATATTTCCTTTTTGTATCTTTTCGTTACACTTTCGTAGAATTCTCCGACGTTTCGTTCAGGTGCCTTCCGACCGTGTTCGAATGACCCAGGCTGAGCTGATAAGACATCTCCATGATGCGGGCCTCGTGCTCAGTGAAGCCGAGGTGGGCCGGGCCTGGTCATTTGGAGCATTACCCTCTGGTAAACATACAAAAAACTATGGAAAATCACCATGTTTAATGGGTAAATCCACTATTTCGACTGGGCCATTTTCAATAGCTATGTAACAAATTACCAGAGGGTAACCATCCATAATCATCCATAACCATCCCATTTTCGGGGCACGCTTGTACTATCTTTGCGTTGTAGATATGATTCCAAAAAATCCGAAAAATCTTGGCGGCATTAGTTTGGCTGGTTGCATTCAGTCCATATCTATTTAAAAAACGAGTGCCAGCTGCGAAGCAACACGATCCAAAGCATCAAGGCTTCTCATGGCCACCTGATGCCATGGGTGTTCGATTTTCTCCATATGCCTGACAGTCGCAGGCCGCCAGAGGTGTCATATCTTGTTGGTGCCAACCCAAGACCCAGTTTGGATGGGATATTTATTCATCATTATCCATTACTTACATTACTTATTGTCATTTGCATACATGCAACATGAATCCACCTGCCAGGTACCATTTTTATATCGACCTGTCAGGTATCCATTTTCACCAACGTTGCCCACTCTGCTCAATACCATTGGCAGGTGGGCGGGAATTTCACCAAGCCATAGCTGCTGCGAAAAGGTGCAGACTTCGAGCGCTTGCACCACCATTGCCTCTTGGAAACTTCGTGGGTTCCTACTTTGCTTTCTGTGTTTCAACCCTGCAGAAGCTACATTGGTAGCGGAGCCGAGATTGCTCGGCCTCCTGCTGCTGCTGCGCACTCCAACTTAACCAATAACCCTTACAACCTCACCTTCAACCTTGTGATTTCCTTCTACAACTTTCTGGACAAGATCTATCGAGCTTTGCACTTTGCCAGTCCTACATCTTTGAATTTGTCAAGGACCTCGGGCTCTGGCTTGGCAGTGCTTCTCTTCTACTTGGCCCTGGGCAGTGCTTCTCTACGAGAGCTATGTCAGCGGGCGCAACGACTTCGAGCGCAACTGCCTTGGACCAGCAGAGCACTCGCGACAGCTACATCCCTGTCTTTGATGGCACTCCAGCGAACTACAAGGAATGGCGGAAACGAATCATCATCTATGCCAAGAAAATGGAGCTGATGAACAGAAAAGGCGAGTGTGTGCTGAACTTGCTTGGTTCTTTGCAAGGAACAGCATGGAAACTTGTCGAGGACTTTGACTTGGAGTTCGTGAGCGGCGACACCGCCCTGAAGGACATCTTGGCCCTGTTGGACGCAGCTTTCCAGTATGACAGCAAGGTGGAGATGCCTGCGGACTTTGCCGCATACTTCGAAAGCCAAGGACGTCGCAGTGGTCAGAGCCTCCTTCAGTTCATCACCGACCATGATGATCGACTTCGCCGAGTAGAAAAGCATGGAGTCAAGCTTCCAGCAGAAGTTCAAGGATGGCACTTGTTGGCAAAATCCAACATTTCCAAGGAGCAGAAGCAGATGGTGATGACTCAAGCCAACTCCTTGGAGCGTACGAAGATTCAGCAAGCTTTGTACTCCATCCTTGGTCAGGACTACAAGCACAGCCATGTTCCAAACCCCAGCCGATGGTCTTCCTCATCACGCCCTTCTGGAAGAGGTCGTGGATACTATGTGGATGAGGACAACAACGCCTATGAAGATGACGCTTGGGGCTACATGGCTGAGGATGACGACTTTGCCTACTATGAGTACGACGATGGTGCTTGGGAAGATGATGGCAACTATGATGAGTTTGACTGCGATGCTGTCTACTACCAGGAAACTACGGATGATCCCATCATGGATGACTACGGCTATGACCCTGACGAGTACGATGAGTGTTTTGCAAGCTATGTGGATGCTCGACGAAGGTTCAACGAACTTCGCATGTCGAGAGGCTTCTTGCCTGTCGTTGCACTTGACCCCAATGCCTCCGGCTCCAACCAACAGCCCATCAACAACAAGGGCAAAGGAAAGAAGGGTCGTGGAAAAGGGCGTGGAGGAAAGAACAATGTGAAGTACTCCAAGCCGCCAATGAAGCCTCATGATCCCAAAGGTCGAGCACAAGCTGCACTTCGATGTCTTCGATGCGGATCAACAAGCCATACGACAGCGCAATGCACCCAAGGATCCAAGCCAACTCAAAAGGCTACTCCAACTGGTCCCAACAAGCGACAAGCCATTGAAGGAGTTGCTTCGAACAACATCTTCGACCCTGAGAGCGGCATGGTGATGTTCGAGGACCAATCTGGAGCTCAAAGGCCAGATTGTGCGATGATGGATCCTGGTGCCTCCTCTTTCTTGATGGGCTATGGTCCTTTTTGCAGATATTTGGACCACCTCAAGAAGCTCAACTTCCCTGTGCACGAGATCACCCTCAAGAAGGCCAACAGAAACTTCCACTTTGGAGGTGATCACCAAGCAGTTAGCTCTTGGACAGTGCACCTGCCCATCTTCGTGAACCACCAATTTGGATTGGTCCAAGCGTTCCTCTTGAAGGGAGAGACACCAATGTTGCTTGGACGACCAATCACAAAAGCTCTTGGCATGTCCCTGGACTTCCTCAACGATCGCATCAAGTTCAACAATGGTGAGTGGTGTGACGCAACTCTTGGACGACACAGTGAATACCTGCTGCCGCTCACTGAGGACTTCGACCCAGCGATCATCTCCAATGGTGCTACCTTTGACCTGGTGCTTGAAGATGAAGACGGCCCCAACTACACCCTTGAGCACTTCCAGACCACTGAGAATGTGTATATAGCCGACGAGCACCCAGCACCTGAAGGTTCACTTCTCCTCAAAGGCAAGCTGCTGAAATCCATCAACAACTCTGTGCTGACATGCCTGAAGGCGGCAGAGGCCTACATTGCCCAAACTCTTCATGACATGGAAGAGAGACGACCTCGAAAACTATGGGAAGTCTACTGTGGGCATGGCCGAACTTCTGAGATTGCAACTTCCTTTGGCATGGAGACCCAGCGATTTGGATTTGAAACTGGATGGAACTTTTCACTGCGATCTCATCAACGAGCTTTCATGGACTTGCTCGATGAGGAACTACCAGATGAAGTTCTACTTGCACCATCCTGTTCGCCTTGGTCTCCCATGCAGAACGCCAACATGCAGAACGAGCGCAAATGCCAACAGTTGCAACAACTTCGAGAATGGCATCACAGAGTTCACCTGCGGTTTTGCAGGAGGATTTACCTGAAGCAGCTTGGAGAAGGATGACATGCACACCTTGAACAACCAACTCCAGCTCTCTCCTGGAAGACGAGCTCACTACGAGATCTTCCTGGACATCGAGCACGATTCCATCAATGCCAATATGGATGTGTCTGCATGACTGATGAAGGCTCATGGATGCCTGTGCGCAAGGACACCACCATCTTGACTTCGAAAGCTGCGGTGGCACAGGCCATGAATCGCCTTTGTCCAGGAGATCATCAACACTGCCGACTTGAAGGCCATCTGAAAGGTTTCAACACTCTGAAGACCACCTTCATGCAGGACTACCAGCCTGCCATGGCCGCCACACTGGCTGCTGCAATTGCTTCTCCGGATTCTCCGGAAGTACCTCACCCTTGGGGCTGGATTTGCAGTCCAAGAGGTGAAGGAGCACGTCGGCAAGATGATTGACTTGCATGTGGAAGGCAAGGCCGAAGCCTTGCGAGTGGTTCAGAAACTCCACAGGAACCTTGGACATCCTTCCACAAAGTCCTTGGTCGAGCTTCTTCAAAGCCGCAATGCCAGTGAAACTTTGATCCAAGTTGCTGGAACCTACGTTTGTGCCGCCTGTCAAAGGTATCGTAAACCAAATCAGCCAGCACCTTCAAGCATCAACACTGCAGAGAACTTCAACCAGAAGGTTCAATCAGATGTCTTTTGGATCAAAGAGGGTGGCGTGAAATACCCAATTCTCTCCAACATCGACATGGCCACCAAGTATCAGACCGCCACGCTGCTGCACAAAGAGAAGACTGGCGACCTGATCACTGGATTTGAGCGGTCTTGGATTGCCCATTTTGGGCCACCAGCCAAACTTCTTACAGATGAAGGCAGAGGATGGGTCAGTGACCAGATGGCTGAATGGACTGACTCTTTGTCCATAAACCATGAAGTTGCCCCTGGTGAAGCCCACACACGAATGAGCTTGGTTGAGAGGCGACATGCCGTGCTGAGGAAAGCCATTGAGGTGTACATTTCTGACTTGGACTTGCATGGCCCCGATGGACTTCGAACGGCCTTGACGTACATCCTCCCTCAGCTGAGTGCTCAACCAACTGTGGCTGGCTACAGCCCATCTCAGTGGCTTCTTGGGTATCAGCCATCAATTGGCAACCTCCTGACCTCTGACCAGATCACTCCAGTTCATCTTGCTGGTGGATCCTCTTTTGAAGAAGCCCTGCAGCGAAGAAACATGGCCAAAACTGCAATTCTCCAAGCGGATACTGACCAGAAGCTACGGCGTGCACTACTTCGCCGATATGCTGGTGACAACATCAAGCTGTCAGTGGGCCAGACTTGCTACTTTTGGCGAGATGCACAACAGAGCGACTTAGTCAAGATACGTTGGAAGGGCCCAGCCAAAGTTTTGATGGTCGAATGTGATGGAGATGGCAAACCAACATGTTACTGGATTTGCTATAAGACTCAGCTTATACGATGTGCACCTCATCACTGCAGACCAGACTTCCATGCCTTGGCCACCAACGTCATCGACAACTTGGAGGAAGCAAAGAATGTGATCAGACAGATCAAGTCACGTGGAGTCACTCGGTACCTGGACTTGAACCGTGTGAACAAGCAGCTCATCGACGATGTGGAGGAAGACGAAGAGATGATGTCAGACAGTTCAAACCCTGAGCAAATCTCCAAAAGAAGACGTCTGGCGATGTCTCCAGCACCTTCAGTGAGCTATGAACCATCGCTTGCCGATGATGAAGTTCCAATTCCTCCTGAACAAGATGATGCTGCCAACAACGACTTGATCCACAACAACGGTGCAGACCTTCCTCAAGATGTTCCTGTACCCGACACCAACGACAATGCCGAGAACTTGTTTGAGCCTTCAGCTGAACCATTTCCACCAACACCGATGGCAACGTCACCTGTGAATCCAACTTCAATACCAACATTTCCTGACCAACATGTTTCAGTACAACCACCATCACAACTTACATTGCCACAACCTTCACTCTCCTCAATTCAACAACCATCACCCTCTTCACTGCCTTTGCCTTCACAACATTCAGTGCCACAAGATACACAACATTCATTGCCACAAACCACACCAGTTTCAGTGCCACAGTCAATACAACCACCACTACCTTTTGGAGAAACGTTTCAACAGCGAAGAGCCAGACTTGATCGACAAGAGATGATGCCCATTTTCAACCAACCATACCGACATCAACGACGAAACCAAGATGGACCTTATTCAAAGCCAACACCCAATGATGATGACGACTTGGCCAACGTTGTTTTTCAGGTCGAAGATGTTGATCCTGATGGACTTCCTAGCGATTGGCACTTCAGACCCGAGACTGGCTATTTTGAGCTGCGACCTGGAACCACCAACAGAGACTTTTGGGAAGTCAAAGCAGGATGTTTGATACGCCACCATGTACATCCTCGCAAGACCTTGTTTGACCCCAATAGTATCCCCGCGTCAACAACCTTCCGCGTACAAAATGTATCCCCGATAGTCCGTCTCAAAGTAGTACATCTCAAAATCAATCTATCACACCAACTCCAAAAGTTCGATTACATGGAAAGCAAGCACCTATGTCCAATTGCTACTCAAGTGATACAGACACACGTTCACATGCAGCTTCGTCCAGTGCAACACACCGCACAGGCATTGGCTGAGAGGAACGTGCAATGGAGTTTGGGGACTTGCGTCTCCGTTACTCTGACAAGACCCAGGTTGTTTGACCCCAACGGCTTCAAGGACATCCCAATCCCGGTGGAGCACCTCGACAATACTAGAGTGACTGTCCACCACACCATTGACGGCCAGATTGCCTCCTTCACTGACGACTTCAAGAACCAGATGCACTTCACCAAAGACCTGAAGAAGCATCAACTGCCTGCTCAATGGTTTGGAATCACGGTCTTTCAGATCAATGCCACCACCAGAAAGGAGCTTGGGATGACAGCCCAGGACCAACGCAGCTCAGCCAAGAAAGTTGCCCAAGATGCCAAAGTCCAACAAAAACGAGTCTTTCGCCGCGACATGGCCAAGAACAAAGGTGAGATCTCCGAGAAACACCTCACTGCTGCTGAGAAGGAGCTGTTCCTCCAGGCCAAGGTGAAAGAACTTCAGTCGTTTTTCGAAAATGGCGTGTGGGAGTTTTCCACATCAGCAGACGCCATACCTGAAAGGACTTTGACAAGCAGAATCCTTTTGAAATGGTCCAAAAACACTGACGGCACCCCACGTGCGAAGGCACGATTGGTTGTCAGAGGTTTCAACGATGTCGATGCTTTGAATGGCAACCTTGACACTGCGAGCCCTACGACCAGCCGCCTGAGCAGATCAATCCTGCTGACGGTGTCCTCATGCTTGCGATGGAAAGCTTGGGCCGCAGATGTGTCAACAGCCTTTTTGCAAGGACTTCCACAAGAACGTCAACTATGGCTTCGTCTTCCAGCAGAAGCTCTACGAATCCTTGGTGCTCCTCCTGAGACCCGTATGTACCTGAAGAAACCTGTCTATGGACAACTGGATGCACCACGTAGATGGTACCTGGAAGCCCTGCGTAGACTTGAAGGCCTTGGTTGGAAACGACATCAACTTGATCCCTGCCTCTTCATGCTCTTCGATGACTCCAACATCACTGATGGCGACACGCCCAAGTTGGTTGGCCTCCTCATCATCCATGTCGATGACATTCTGGCTGCAGGAGATGAGACCTCTGCAGTATATGCTGATGTTGAGAAGCGGCTGAAGGAAGTTTTCAACTTTCGAACTTGGGAAGCTGACACGCAGACCTTGGAATACTGCGGTGTGAAGTTGGAGCGGCAGAACTATGCATGGTCAGTCCACCAAGAGGACTACTGGAAAAAGGTGAAGCCCATCACCATCCACAAAGGCCGTTCTGCTGAAGATGAGATGAACGAGCACGACAAGTCTCAACTACGTGCTTTGTTGGGATCAATACAATGGCCAGCAGTTCAAACAGCCCCACATGTGCAATGCAGTGCCAGCCTCATTAGCGGCCAGCAGAAGACCAACAAGCTGCGCGCCATCATTGAGGCGAACCAGCTGCTCAAGTTTGCCAAGCAAAACCTGGATCTGCGATTGCGCTATGAGCCTTTGAACGTCCAGAGCTTGGACGACATCAGACTTTTCTTTATGTTTGATGCTGCACATGGGGTTCGTGAAGATCACACTTCACAGGGTGGTTACACTGCCTTCTTTGCCACGGACGAGATTTTTCAAGGCGAGAGCCATTTTCACATCATTGACTGGCGCAGCTTCAAGCTGCCACGTGTTGCAAGGAGCAGTTTGAGTGCCGAAGCCCAAGCTTGCGGCCAATCCTCCGACATGGCCGAATATGTTGCCAGGTTTTGGAGCTGCATGCTTCGACCTACGCAAAACCTTCGAGACCATTTGGATGAAACCTCAACCTTGCAGCCTTGCCTCATCACTGATGCGAAGGCCCTCTACGACTCCTACCACAAAGAAAGCCTTGCAGGTGCCTCCACCGTGGACAAGCGCACCGGCCTTGAAATCCGTGTTGCAAAAGAGCAACTGACCTCACTTGGAGGTATGCTCCGATGGGTGAGCTCTGAGAGACAGTATGCGGATGGCCTCACAAAGATGTCAACGCGTGCACTCCTTGCCGAGCGCATCCGTTACCACAAGATGAAGCTGATGTGGCATCCTGAATATACCAGTGCGAAAAAGAAAACAGCTGCTGAACGTGAAGCCAGCAGAACTGAGTTTGCAGAGCCGAAGAAGAAGAAGAAGGAATCACAAACAACCTCACCAACATTTTCATCATCACTTCAACATGCGACACCTGAACCTCCACACCATTCCGACATGTTTGAAGAGTGCGACATGACTGAAGATGAGCGCTTTGAGGACGAGTGTTACCTTGCGGAAGAGCGCTACCTTGCGGAAGAGCCCTACAAGCCTGTCGAGGCCTACGCTGGTTTCGTAAAGAATGCCAAAGCCATTGTGTATGCCCTGACGCTCTGTGCCACTATGCCAGCGGCTTCAGCGATGCATGTGCCATTGGACCATGAACATGGACGATGGGGAATTTATTTCTTTTGGATCATTTTGATCCTGCTGCTTTTGGGCTTGGCTTTTGCCCTTGGTCGACGGCGAGGCATTCGACTTCAACGTGCACGACAAGCTGAAGATGTCAGCGCTGCTCTGAACCGCCTCGACAGCCTGCAGCTTCGAAACGACCGGCATGATGTGGAGACCCAGAGAATGCGAGAAGAGATCAACATGCTGCAGGAAGTTCGACATAACCTTGAACTGGAGCGCCGATCAGCGAATGTGATGGCGATCATGATGGAATACAACGGCCACCAGATCCGACACATGGTTGGACGGATTGATAGACTTCAAGGTTTGATCGCGAACCATCAGATGCCGTGCCCACTTGGCGACACCATCCTAGTGCAAGAGAACTTGGATGAGACCCAATGGCACGTTGATGCTGACTGCCCCATTCTCCAGATGAATCGAACTCCGATCTACGAGCTAGATCACTGCCAGCTTTGTGCCCCTCGCGATGTGCGCATGGTTCAAGACCGAGCATTCACTGGTCGATGAGAGATGCCGTGTGTTTCATTTTTTTCTTCCCAAATCAAAGATTTGGACGTGCTGATGCATTTGACCGGCTGTTAGCCAACATTCCCCCGTGTCATTTGCATACATGCAACATGAATCCACCTGCCAGGTACCATTTTTATATCGACCTGTCAGGTATCCATTTTCACCAACGTTGCCCACTCTGCTCAATACCATTGGCAGGTGGGCGGGAATTTCACCAAGCCATAGCTGCTGCGAAAAGGTGCAGACTTCGAGCGCTTGCACCACCATTGCCTCTTGGAAACTTCGTGGGTTCCTACTTTGCTTTCTGTGTTTCAACCCTGCAGAAGCTACACTTATTGTTATCGTTCGTTATCCTGATTTATAATATTTCTAATGATCTGTCATTCTCTTCTCTTCCCTGCATCCCCGAAATCCCCCGAGGGCCCCAGCCAACCTTGGCAGGCGCGGTCTCGCAGAGAATCTGCTCAGACCACCGCGGATGTTGAGGCGCTGGGGGTGGTACCAGTCTAGCCCAAATTATCATTAGATTATCTTTAGTTGATAGATATTACACCATTATAGTTTATAGTTTGTATGTTTCATGATAAGCCAACCAATTGTAGTTGGTACATGTTGGTACATGTTGGTACATGTTGGTACATGTTCCATTTCACCCCAATTTTTGAATAGACCCATTAAAACGATGACTGAGCGGTGGTTTCAATTTATCTCACCTGGGTTCAGGAAGGGGTATATTATGGTATATTGACCTATCAATATGCAAAGATACACAAACAAATCCACAGATCTACAAGTATGCTCCTTCAGCAAAAACACAGAAACAGGCTGGATTTTCCCTCTGAAACTCAGGCGTTCGTTCGTTAAAAAACTGAAGCTCCTATCGTGAATTCACCTTTTTGTAGTAAGCCTGCAACCTGGCCACGGTGGGATACCATGCAGCTGCTGGGTGAAAAATCCTCCGGCAGCGGAAAAAAGTGGTTATACCTGACACATGGGGTCTTCCAACCATGTTGTTTGGTTCCGAACACCCCACATGTTGATCGGTTATGCTCTACATGTACTCACTCTATACTTACCTCTAGTCCCTCTGGTTGCCGAGAATAGATTTCAAGACATCCTCGTGTGAAGCGGGTGCCACTTCAACCCCCCTTAAGCCGCCAGATGTCATCCTCGAATCCGACACCCAGCCCACCTTTGGCGCAACGCAGCGAGGGAAACCCAGAAGTTCGCTGAAATCTCTACTAACTCGGGTATGCGAGGAGCAGCACTGTTCAGAGAATCAGCAGCAACGGGATGTAGCCTATGATATGGCCAACAACAACAGGTGGAATTACCAAGGCAAATGCTGATGTTCTTGCTAGATTTCTACGATTTTGTTACCTAAACTTGTTGTCCCCTAACTTGGGCTCACCAATCCGTGTTCTTGCAGGTTTCATCCTGATTCTTGATTAAACTTACGTACACTTTTGGTGCTTTACATTTACTTTTTGCATGGTTTTCACGGCATTCCTGCGTGGTTAACATCCAACTTCCGGTCAACATCCCAATTTTTTTTGGTTCAAAAAGTCCAATGTTTTTCAGCTTCCCAAACTCCTTCCTGAGGTGTGGGACAGCTGAAGGCCTTGGCCAAGGAGTTGGGCATTGGCTTGGACGGGTGCTTGGAGAAGGCGGATCTCATCCCTTTGACGATAGAACTGGCCCATGAACCAACCTGGATGGGTGCTGGAAGCCTTTTTATCTCCACCAACCAGGGGTTCTAGCATGTTCTATCACCGTTTTTGTTGCCGTCCCAATTTTGTCTTCTTGGCGCTGCGTTCTCATTGTTGTTGGTGACTACCCGCGGCTACCCCTTCTCCACTTCTCCGGTTGCCCCTTTCCATCCAGCCACGGCACAGACCGACATCGTGAATCGAATCGAAAGCTCGCCGGCCTTCAAGTGCTGAGCCCCGCATCAGAGCCAAATCGCCATGGGTGGGTGAAAGATGTGCCACATCCCGAGGAAAAAGCAGGCAAAATTCAAAGACAGTTGCGAACGGTCCCCAGACATCCCCAGACAAATGATTTTGGATGAATGAGATGGTGGGCAATGATCTGAAAACCTGACTGTTCTGACGAATTTTACAGATGCATAGTTTGGCCCCATGTTTGAAAAACATGAATAGGATATTTGGCGAAGGAGTTCGACCAGACTTTGATTGACACATCCGGCAAGGGGTTTGTGGAGGCAACATTGAAATATCGATGGTCCCTGGTCCCCAGTGCCGGACTTATTCACGATAGATTCTTTGGGTTCACTGGGCACATCTTTGAATGTTTTGAAGGGATGCTAATGGTCCACCTGGCCAGGTTCCCTTGAGTGTTTTCCCAGTCTGTCTCTCAAATTTCGCGAGCTCTCCATTTCGAACAGTGAGCAAGCGTACCGCGCGTTGCGCGGGGTCGGATGCTGGCCAGAAATGAGATGCTGAACGGCTGTGAGCCGATACGAAGCCCGAAGAAACACTAGTGATCAATGGCAAATATCACCTGTTTAATACCTGCAAGAGATTCATCACCGGCTGGATATAGACCAACTCGGATTTGGGGATTTCATTGGCAGTCCATTGGTCTGGCACGATCCCAATCTCCTGGGGCAGGAGGATGTCCTGGGCATTCCATGTGGCCTGGTTGCACCCAAAGGTGTGAACCATGGCGCCATGCTTCCCAGCGTTGGGGGGAATTTCCAGGAGACCAGAGCAGGTCTGAACAGGTGGCTGAATATGCCTGAATTTGCCATAGGGCCATAGGCTCAAGATGGCCCATTCAGAAACCCAGGCCAAGACTATCCAAGACTATCCAAGACTCCAAGAGCCACAAAAGTTTTTTACCCACCTGAGCCGCACAGAACCAAGTTTTTGGCAAACTATAAAGGACTTACATGACCTCATCATCAGTGGTAAGTAGGAGAAATCATCCCAAACATTGCTTCATCATTGTAATCTTGGATGACTTTGGTAGATTTCCTATTGAGATTTGGAGCATGAGAAACATCTCGGGTGGCTGACGCGGCCGAGATGTTTAGAGATATACAATGACTGCATATGTACTGTATATACATTGATACTATACATAATATAATATGGTTGGTTGTATAGTACATATCTATCTATCTATCTACCTACCTATCTATCTATCTATCTACCTATCTATCTATCTATCTAGCTAGCTAGCTGGCTAGCTATCCATCTAGCTATCCATCTAGCTATCCATCCAGCTATCCATCCATCCATCCATCCATCCATCTATCTATCCATCTATCTAGCCTAATCGAATCTTATCTTATCTTATCGTATCGTATCGTAATCTTATCTTATCTTATCCTATCCCTATCCTATCCTATCCTATCCTATCCTATCCTATCCTATCCTATCCATCTATATGGATATATGTATATATAGGCGAGTAATGTTCGCATACAAAGAATTGCACATATCACATATACTAAATATACTATTGCTTGCCTGGATTGTTTCATATGCTGGATCTGTGGATCCACCAGGTAGCCACAACCGCAGGGATCTGCTGGTTTCGCTAAGTTGTGATCTCCCCCTTTGGCCTCGCTGGCTGACCCGGATCTGAAACGGCAGAAACAACGTGACACAGAGGAGGGCTGGGCAGCAACGCTGGCATATGATAAAATAAGATCCTGAAGTTTTGATCGGTTGAATTTTGAGATGAATATGTTTCTAGTTTTCTGTGATTGGTTCGGGTTGTTGACCAATGTTTGCATCTTTCAACGGTTGTTTCAACATCCCCCAATAGGACTGACAGCAGTTGCTTACTGGATTCATTGACTTGAACAAATATGGAAAATAACGAACTTTGAGGTTTGATTAGTTTGATTTTCAGGGAGTGCATGTAATTTTTTCCCAAACCTGGCAATTGCCCGCAAAGGTTCTATGGATAAGCTGGATACTCGTTCGGAACTGTTTGTACATTAACCCTGATCTTATGTCCCCGTCCGTTGGTTTGTCCCATTTGGAAGCGGCTCTTAATAATTTGTATTGCTGACCCGTTGCGTATTACCCATCTATACTCATTATCATTATTGTTGCCATTCGGTTTTGTTGGGTGAAACCAGTGTTTTTGTGGGAGTTATACCATGATACCATTGGTTCTCAATCAGTTTGAGGTACAATGACATACCGTCAACAATCACTGCCAAAACTTCAATACATGGTTGGTTAGTGTTTGGTGGGTCATACCCTTATCTCAGATTACAAACTGTTATCCACAACAATCAAAAACATCCAGGCCATCCCGGTTCTACCAATGGATTATGGCAATGGACGCAGCCGCTGGCAGCTCGATCTTGGCACTGTGGGTGTCACGCGACCGACGCGTGGTTGGGCGGCACCGGCGATGACGAGAAGTGCCTTGGCTGCACCGGATCCTGCGAAGTGGTGGATTGAAATGGGGAGATGAAAACGGAGCTAAAATGGGGTGAAACTCAGCGACATGGGGACAAAAGGAATACAACCAAGGAAGAAGATGGTATATAGTCGGAAACTATTGTATATCCAGCAATATGTAACTTCCTTATATATATATATTATATTATATATATATTATATATTATATATATAATATATTATATATATATATTATATATGTATATATATATATATTATATATATATATATATCATTGCCAGAACCTTGAAGCGTTCAAGGTTTCAACAAGTCACCGATCAACCTCTTCCAACCTTCAGGGATTATGCCAGCTTTGCCTGGACCCCTTTTGTCAACGGTCTTGGGGATCTCTTGCCAACAGTCACAGTACATAGCCGACATAGCCATTGGCAAATTGAATGATTCTACTACACATTCTACTACAAAGTGATCTTCATGGGCATCTGTGGGAATTTGTGTGAAATGGGAAGACGCATCTGAATCTGAATGGCCCATTTGCATTGCGTAAGCTAGCAGCTACCATCCTTGTTTTTGGTCCCGATATGCAACCTTGACCCTTTGGGTCTGAGTATCGTACTTGTAGGGTATGGCCGTCTGAATTATTAACTTCAAAGCAGAAATTGAATGCATTAACTTCAAAGCAGAAATTGACTTCAAAGCAGAAATTGAATGCATTGGAGTCATGTGTTATCTGGGATGTTGTCTCACGAGTTTGCCCAGAAACCACCCCAGGTAACGGCCGGCGCGGCCGGGATGGCACGGGTCCCAAGTGATGAAGGGTGTTTCGAGAAAGACACAAAAAGTAAAAAGGCAAGATCCAGAAGTGATCAAAATCTGGTACTATGGTCTTTGAAATGTATGTATGTGTACATGGAATATATATATAGAGACGTGACATCTCTCGCTCTCTCTCTCTCTCTAGGTCTAGCTCTCTCTCCCTCTCTCCCTCCCTCTCCCCCCTCTCTTCCTCCCCCTCTCCCCGCAAGATATGTTCGGCTCAGGTATGTTGGAAAAACATGGATTGAATGTATCTAGCTGCTGATGCTGTTTTACATTGAAAGCGGGCAGGTGGCTACCGACACGGTCGTGATGACCGTGATTGGCGGGAGCCGCCGGCGTGTTGCCAGCTCTTCTGCAACGGCTGAACAGATGGGTCTGGATACTAAGCCCCTAAACCTGGGCATGCAAACATATTATCTGGGAATGTCACCAGCAACTGGTGTGTACTTTTCTCAGGAATATCCAATCAAATAGTTGCAGGGATGAGATGAAAGCATCTTGTTTGGTGTAAAACTTCATGTTTGCCTGCTACTACAAGATATTAACCCTATAATTTGGCTGGGCATTCTTAGCGTTCTCCAGCTTTTTGGGGTATTTTTTTTGCACAACTTCATTGATGATCTTGCCATTTCACCATCTTAGCTCCGCAGCCAGGACCGCCGGGATTATCGCCGGGAGGCACACAGGGCTTCTGGGTCGTGGGGGTCGTTGGCGTCCAAGCAAGACATAAAAGTGATTAAGTGTGGTTCGAGGCTATTCTGATGAGGATTTTTCTGTCTTTCTTTGAATCACTATTGTAGGTGAAAATCATGAAAACAAGTCTATCTTTTTTGTTCACTTCAGGCTTCTATTTGCTGTCGACACCTACGTAGCACCCCGAACTGCGTTAGACAGCATTTATTGTCAACTTTCAAGTCCGCAAAACCAGGTCCCTCCTCGAATATAATTTTCCTGCACAAAAGAACATAGATTTATAGGGGCTTGAGTGGTGAAAGTTCAAGCCCTATATAATTTCTTGACTCTGTCAGAAACGCAAAATGCTATGGCAGGCAAAAAGGAGCCGCAGCTCGTGCGGTGCTGAGAATATTTTGAACCAGCCAGATAGGTGGGATAGGACACCCATAGGGACTCTCAGCTGAGACCAACTGACCGGGTGCATCACGGATTCATGTGAGAGATACTGTACCGAGCCATTATTGTTGGTACATGTTGGTACTATGGATCCATTCCCAAAGTTCGCTACTCACAACATTGTTCCCCCTTATCTTGGTCCTATTGTTGGTCAACACCCCATTCCTGCTGGGAAAGAAACCCAGTTTGGTTGGTAAACTAGAATAACATTTAGCTATTTTAACTCAGAGTTGGTCAACCCCCCAAGAGAAACCGAGGATTGGTTTGCTTGGCATTACTAACCTCCCATTATACTGTTCTATCCAACAGAAATAGTCTCACTCCTTAACAAGGCGGCGGAGAGATCGCCGAAGATCGCCCACCACGGAGCCGGAAGTCACTGGGAGACCACTACATAGTCAGTGAAAAGCAGGATACCAGGAATAGCATTTGTGAACCGTGAAGAAATTGGAAATTTGGGAAATTTGGGAAAAATGATGTAAATGAATGGTTGTGTCCACGAATGGGACATTTCAAAATCCACCAAAATGGCTTCAGCACTTGCAGAAACCAATGGTTTGGGGCGTTCGCAAGTCTTTGAAGCA